CCTATTTCTAACAAAAACCATCAATCATTATTTGATTTCTTATATGACAGTTTCATCTCTTAGCTGTAAACACAGACCAGAAAATTTGCGAAATTTTTTATAATTTAATGAAGTTTAGTTATGAATTGGACGGTCTAGTACGTGTGAAAGGCCGTGGTGAGCCGGAAACTGTACATCGAGCAACACAAACATCATGCCATCGTCTGGATGGTTCCTATGTGAATCATGTGGTCAGCATCGATTCGGTAGAATGGCGTGCTCCGGATTATGTGGTAGGACGATAGTTGAATTATTTAGGATTCATTAAGATTTTTGCCTTTTTTTCATGGATTATGTGACATACAAATTTTCGACTTACTTATATACCTTGGCAATTTCCCTTGACGCTAAATACCGGAAGGAAAGCGCGTGTGTTTGTATGTATTTGTGGGTGTGTGTGTTTGTATGTGTACATGGGTGTTTCATGTATGGCATGTTTATGTTTATGCCTATATGTGTGTGTGTTTGCATATTTTTATGTATGCGTGTATGTGTGTATGTTTGTGGTGCGTGTGCATGTGTTGTGCGTGTGTGTATGTTTGTGCATGTATGTGTGTATGTTTGTGTGTGTATGTGTGTGTGTTTGTAGCTATTCGTATGTTTATGTATTTGTGCGTGTATTGTTTGCGTGTGTGTGTGTGCGTGTGTGCGTATATATATATGTGTGTGTGTGTGTGTGTACATGTGTCTGTGCGTGTGTAGTCTGTGTATTTACTGTGTGTTTGTTTTCTCGTTGTAAAAAATTCATCCCAACGCACTCAGACGGGAGACATGGACGAATGATACTGTAGATACACGCGGACCTCGAATCATCGGATCATCCATCTTATATACTGATATTCCTTATATACTGATAATAGATATCACACATTACAATCTCCGAAACGCCCATCTGTAACAGATATCACACATTACAGTCTCCGAAACGCCCATCATTCAGAATCCCAGAATGGATGCCATGAGAACCAGGTATAAATTTTACCGTCATAGATTCAATCTACGATGGGAAAGTGATTAAAAATAAAAAAATAAATAAAAAAGCAAATCTCATGAGGCAAATTTTTTTGCTCGTTTTTTTGCTTTATTACAAAATTTCATGAATCCTCTTTTTTCCAGATACATCGTTTTAAGAACGGCGATACTAAAGTACGCTTGAAACTGATTGATACGAGCATTTCGATGCTGGTCATGGATGTTGGTACCGTGAAGCATCTATCGATGTCGGGAAGAGGACAGTTCCCGAAATATTGCGTAGAATGGGGTACCGTTGCCCGGAAAAGATCCAGAGTGATCGCTTCTTCACAGCCTCGTGTACTTAATCAGTTGTAATTTTGTACCTCACAAATGAGTTTCGTATTTCAGAATTTATCACAGATTTGATCTCTATGGAGAAATCATCTCATAGACTTTTATGTGTCTTTTTAGTAAAAAAACTTTTTTATGTTCTCTATCATATTACCTCTAAAAGATCCCCCCTTTCCTTGTCCTTCACTCGATATGAAAGGGGAAGACCCTCGAAAATAATCCGAGTGATAGCCATTTGCTAACAGCAATCTCACTCTCAGGGTTTTTCTAAAAAAAGAAGTAGTATTCGCTTCCTAAAACAGCTTGTGAAGCGATGTTTTGCTGCTTGCCAGGCAGGCCGGTCTTCTTTTTGCGGTGATTTTTGAACGATACTGACAAAAGTAGCAGTTTTCGAAGAGAATTTTGCAAGCATAGTTTTTTGATACCGAAAAATAGATTTATTTAACCCAGTTTTGTTACCAAAACAGAGAAATTATCCAGAAAAACGTTATTTCGCGTTCCAGAACTTCACTTAGTATAAAAATTCACTTATGTAAAATCATTTAATCACTCTTTAGGGAATTTTATGTGTAAAATGTATGCAAAGCTTTGTCGTATAAACTTTTTTAATAGTAATATTATCTGCTTACACGTGCTGCTTAATTTTCAAGAGAGCCATTACAGTGTGGATTGGTCCTATGTTTGGCATACATTTGCGTTTTTGCATGGCATA